AAAGCATCAGGGACCGCGGTTCAATCCCCCAGCACCACATGCCAGCCAGCCCCGCCCCCTGGTGGGCTGAGCTGGCCACACACACACACACCACTCTCTCTCTCTCTCTCTTTCTCTCTCTCTCTCTCTCTCACATAAATAAAAAAAAAAATTAAAAAAAAATTAAACCATATATCAAATGCCCACAAAAAACTTTTATTTTCTAAGATTTTAGATAAAAAAAATCTAAAAACTTGTGTAAACTGTATATGCATTTTATCAACATACTCTATTCTTTTTTTTTTTTCATATTCTATTCTTGTGCCATCTGTTTTTCTCTAAAATATAATGGAGTGTTTTGTGTTTTGTATTTTGTTATAGAACTTAAAGATCAAAAATTTCTATTCTCTGAACTCAGCCTGTAAGTTGCTTGTATAAATTATGGTTTTAGGAATTTTATTGATACTTCAGTTGAATGTCAGAAATTAGTCACGTTTTATGAGTTTAAGGTACTAGTTCAATTTATGTATCCTTAAAGATCACCACTTTGAGATTCCTTTCAAAGGATCCCTGAGCCTGCCAACTAGACAAGATAAGCAAAGCTCACCCTCCCAAGCTGAAAAAATTTATAGACAGGAAGTTTTTATTGAAATTGAATGGTGGCACACATGTCCAAGGAATATTGCAAAGATATGATCCCTTTATGAATCGTGTGATAGATGAATGTGTGGAGATGGCAACTAGTGGGCAACAGAACAACATTGGAATGGTGGTAACACGAGGAAATAGTATCATGTTGGAAGCCTTGGAATGAGTTTAAATAATGACTGCTCAGAAAAATTAATGCCCCTCTTCCAAGTGCTACTTTCACTGACTGAAGATTGGGTCATACACATTTTCATATGTTAAATTTTTGTTAAATAAACTTTTATGATAGTCAAAAAAAAAAACCCCACTTTATTTTATTTATTTATTTTTATGTAGAGCCAGGGATTGAATTAAGACCCTTGCGCTTGCCAGGGAAGTGTTTATTCCACTGAGCCATCTCCCCGGCCCCTAAAATCACCACTTTAAATATAAGCTGTTAAAATCAGAACCCAGAAAGCCAGGTGTGGTGGTACATGTCTCTAGTCCCAGCTGCTTGGGTGACTGAATCAGGTAGTCCAACAGTTTGACACCAGCCTAGGCAATAAGATCCTAAGATCCTGTCTCAGAAAACCAAAGCTTATCTTTAAAAAAGAAAAAAGAAAATACTAGCAATAAAAAGAAAGAAAGAAAACCAAAGCTTAAAACCAACGACAGAAAACAGAAAGGTGAAGGTCTATGTATGTATGCATGCTGGGGATACAACCCAAGGTTTTAGTAATAGTCAAGACTATTACTGAGCCACACTACCAAGTTGATCATGGTATTTTTTAAGCGCCTGAATACCTGTAATATTGAACTAGTTATTCTTTCTTAATTTGTTGTATAATTATTGATTGGTACAAGGGGACAGTCTCTCCTTGAATATTGCTTCAATTACAGTCATTCATTGTTTTGATAGTTTTTGTTTGAAAACCACCATAAAGAGATTTGTATTGTATGTGAAACTATTAATATAGTTAGACAGTAATTTAAGGAGTATCATATTCAAGTAGTACCAAAGTAAGATTAGGTTATGTTAGTGTTTCTGTATTACCTCAAAAAGAACCTAAGCAGAAAAAGGTTAATCATTATTTCTACTCTTACCAGAACATACTTGCAGTAATGATTACATTCAGAATGAGTTGATATATGTAAATAACATATCTTAATTCTTTTTATGTCCTCTTTCACTCACTTCTTTCCTCCTCTATGTTTAGTTCCCTTTCTATTTATGGAACATCTAGCCCCTATTATCTACCTGTCTTTTATTAATTTTCTCATAAGAGAGAAAATTATGCAGTATGTAAGCTTATATGTCTAATGTATTTCACTTAATATTATCTTCTCAAGGTGTATCTATTTTCCTACAAATGATTCAAGTTTACCCTTTATGGCAGAGTAGTACTTCCATGTGTATAAGTACCACATTTTCTTTATCCATTCACCTGTTGATGAACACATGAGCTATTTCCACAATTTAGCTACTGTGAGTTGTGCTGCTGTGTATCATATGAACATGCTATGTAAACAAGAGTATTCATGTATCACTGTAATGTGAAGATGTCTTTAACTGTTTTGGGAGATAGGTAGAAGGGGAGTAGCTGGGTCAAATGGAATTTCTAGTTTTAGTTTTTTGAGGAATCTCCATAGTGCTTTCTATAGTAAGTATACTAATTTTTGTTTCCACCAACAATATAGATGAATTTCTTTTCCCCTCCCATCTCATTAGCATTTATTATTATTTGATTTCTTGATGATAACCATTCTTTTTAGAGTAAGGTAGAATTTCAGTGCTGTTGTAACTTGCATTTCTTTAGTGGTCAGAGATGTCGAACATTTTTTCATATGTTTATTGGCCATTTGTACCACTTCTGAGAAGTGGCTCCCCTTTTCGGTTCCCTGTTTTTTTATTAGCTTTCATATTTGGGGGGAGGGTCTAATTTTCTTGAGTTGTTTAAACTAAATATTACTCCTCTGAAGTGTAGCTGGCAAAGATTTTTTCCCCCCATTTAGTAAATTATCTGTTCACTGTGTTGGTTGTTTCCTTTGCTGTGCAGAAGCTTTTTCATTTGCTATAACTTTATTGATTCTTGAATTATTGTGTATTATTGTGCATTTGGCACTGTTTGAAAATCCTCACCTATGCCTTAAGACTTCCAGACTTTGTCTTCCAGCAGATTGTTTAAAACATAGATCTTTGATCCATTTACATTTTGTTTTAGTACACAGTGAGAGATAATTGGTTTAGATTTAGTCTTCTACATGTATATAGCCAGTTTCCCCAAAACTGTTTGTTAAAAGAGCTGATTTTCTCTGGCGAGTTTTTAGCCTCCTTGTCAAAGAGAAGGTGGTTGAATGTGCCCTTTTGTTTCATTGGTTCCATGGCTGTTGTTGTGCCAGTGCCATGCTGTTTTAATCACTGTAGCTTTGTTGTGTAACTTAAATGATGGGATAATGATGCCTCCTGCTTTGCTGCTGTTGCCCAGAATTGCTGGGTCTCTTCTGATTGCACAAGAATTTTAGGATTGTTTCCTCTAATTCGGTAAAGGATGCTGCTTATCTTTTGATTGGGGTAGCATTAATCTGTGTAATAGTTTTGGTAGTATGGCCATGTTGACAGTTGTGGTTCTGCCTGTCCAGGAGCAGG